ACGTTGGATAGCTATTGATGGGATAAACACGTACGCGTACGGGCATGAGAAAATTGAACCAAGAACATAGGTATATATAAATACCCTGTCGGGGCGACATGTCACGGAACCAGAGAAAGTTTGAGGCTATTTACTGGAAAGGAGGTACTGGAAAGGAGCTAGTGCTGTAGATAAGCTAGCTAAAATGGCGCGAGTACCGCCGGAGGAGGCCAAAGCGTGGCTTGAAAAACAAGCCCTGTGGCAGATCTATTTGCCACCACCACGCTACGTGCCTAGAAGGAAGTTTGGTATTAATATACCCAACAGCGTTCACCAGGCAGACCTACTATTCCTACCCCACGACAAGAGGTACAAGTATGCCTTAACCGTAGTGGACGTAGCCAGTCGCTATAAGGAAGCCGAACCCTTGACCGCGAAAGACTCGGTCCAGGTAGCCCGCGGATTCGAGCGTATATACAAACGCAGTCCGCTGACGTGGCCAACAGAGCTGCAAGTTGACCCCGGGCGGGAGTTCATGGGTGTCGTGTCACACCTGTTAGACAAACACGATACAAGGGTCAGGCGTGGCACGGCTGGAGCCCATCGCAGCCAAGCCATAGTTGAGAGATTCAATAGAACTTTGGCTGAGCGCTTATTCGGGTATCAGTATGCGAGGGAGATGGCCAACCCGGGGGAAGCAATCGACTGAATGGGTCGCTAGGTTACCCAAGGTGGTGTCGGCAATCAACCATGAAGCCACCCGTCTCACCGGCAAGAAACCGGCAGACGCTATCAAACTAAAATCAATAGTGGCAGAGTCGGCTGCTCCATTGCGTGGGAAGGAGAAACAGATACCAGATAGGGCCCTAGTTAGGTATATATACCAGCCGGGGGAACACGAGGGTGATAGCTGTAAGCGAGCCACTGACCCAATATGGTCAGTCAAAACTTACAACATAGATAAAGTGGACATGAAAGCCGACGAGCCTAACTTGTACTACTTGAGGGATGGGCCAGGTAGAGGGTTTGTTAGAGCGGAATTATTGATCGTGACGTACGGCACAATGTTACCCCCCAAGCAAAATACCAAGTAATCCCAACATAGTATCCTGTCAACACGGCATGTCACATGATCAGGAAAGTGCTAGTTCGCTATCTCAGGATAGACCCGTTAACCGACATATTTCAGCCATGTCCCCGGTAGCTCAGTCGGTTAAGTGGTGCGGCTGTGAGGTATAACATTGGGCGTTCGTATCACGCTAGCGTCTCAAACTTTTTCATAGTAATGAAATAAGGCTTTCAGTGCCGGGGGGACTCAAAAGCAGTAGGGGTAATGGTAGCTGGATAAAGGGTCCGACCAAAGCCTTATTTCACAAATAAGGCTTTGCAGAGGCTTTTGTTGGACTTGGTCCAAAACCCCCATTGTATATACTACTACACCTACTAACCAATGCATGATACACCGTCTGATGAAATAAATGATACACCTACTAACCAATGCATGATACACCGTCTGATGAATCCATGACACACCGTTTAACGAATGTATGATACACCTACTCACCAATGCATGATACACTGTCTGATGAATGCATGATACACCGTTTAATGAATGCATAATACATCATCTCATGAATGCATGACAAACCGTTTAATAAAGGCCTGATACACCTACTAACTAATGCATGATACACCGTCTCATGAATACATGGTACACCTACTAACCAATGCATGATACACCGTTTAATAAAGGCCTGATACACCGTCTAATGAATGCATGACACACCTACTCACCAATGCATGATACACCGTCTGATGAATGCATGATACACCGTTTAATGAATGCATAATACACCATGTCATGAATGCATGATACACCGTCTGATGAATGCATGACACACCGTTTAATGAATGCCTGATACACCTACTAACCAATGCATGATACACCGTCTCATGAATACATGGTACACCTACTAACCAATGCATGATACACCGTCTGATGAATGCATGACACACCGTTTAATGAATGCATGATACACCTACTCACCAATGCATAATACACCGCCTGATGAATGTATGATACACCGTTTGATGAATACATGGTACATCTATTAACCAATGCATGATACACCGTCTGATGAATGCATGACACACCGTTTAATGAATGCATGACACACCTACTCACCAATGCATGATACACCGTCTGATGAATGCATGATACACCGTTTAATAAATGCATAATACACCATCTCATGAATGCATGATACACCGTCTGATGAATGCATGACACACCGTTTAAAGAATGCCTGATACACCTACTAACCAATGCATGATACACCGTCTGATGAATACATGGTACACCTACCAACCAATGCATGATACACCGTCTGATGAATGCATGACACAACGTTTCATGAATGCATGATACACATACTCACCAATGCATGATACACCGTCTGATGAATGTATGATACACCGTTTGATGAATACATGGTACATCTATTAACCAATGCATGATACACCGTCTGATGAATGCATGACACACCGTTTAATGAATGCATGATACACCTACTCACCAATGCATGATACACCGTCTGATGAATGCATGATACACCGTTTAATGAATGCATAATACACCATCTCATGAATGCATGATACACCGTCTAATGAATGCATGACACACCTACTAACCAATGTATGATACATCATCTCATGAATGCGTGATACACCGTTTAATGAGTGCATAATAAACCATCTCATGAATGCATGACACACCGTCTAATGAATGCATGATACACCGTCTGATGAATACCTGGTACACCTACTAACCAATGCATGATACACCGTCTGATGAATGCATGACACACCGTTTAATGAATGCATGATACACCTACTCACCAATGCATGATACACCGTCTGATGAATGTATGATACACCGTTTGATGAATACATGGTACATCTAATAACCAATGCATGATACACCGTCCGATGAATGCATGATACACAGTTTAATGAATGCATAATACACCATCTCATGAATGCATGGTACACCGTCTAATGAATGCATGACACACCTACTAACCAATGTATGATACATCATCTCATGAATGCGTGATACACCGTTTAATGAGTGCATATTAAACCATCTCATGAATGCATGACACACCGTCTAATGAATGCATGATACACCGTCTGATGAATGCATAATACACCATCTGATGAATGCTTGACACACCGTTTAATAAATGCCTGATACACCTACTAACCAATGCATGATACACCGTCTGATGAATACCTGGTACACCTACTAACCAATGCATGATACACCGTTTGATGAATGCATGACACACCGTTTAATGAATGCATGATACACCGACTCACCAATGCATGAAATACCTTCTGATGAATGCATGACACACCGTTTAATGAATGCCTGATACACCTACTCACCAATGCATGATACACCGTCTGATGAATGCATGACACACCGTTTAATGAATGCATGATACACCTACTCATCAATGCATGATACACCATCTGATGAATGCATGATACACCGTTTAATGAATGCATAATACACCATCTCATGAATGCATGATACACCGTCTAATGAATGCATGACACACCTACTAACCAATGTATGATACATCATCTCATGAATGCGTGATACACCGTTTAATGAGTGCATAATAAACCATCTCATGAATGCATGACACACCGTCTAATGAATGCATGATACACCGTCTGATGAATGCATAATACACCATCTGATGAATGCTTGACACACCGTTTAATAAATGCCTGATACACCTACTAACCAATGCATGATACACCGTCTGATGAATACATGGTACACCTACTAACCAATGCATGATACACTGTTTGATGAATGCGTGACACACCATTTAATGAATGCATGATACACCTACTCACCAATGCATGATACACCGTCTGATGAATGCATGACACACAGTTTAATGAATGCCTGATACACCTACTAACCAATGCATGATACACCGTCTGATGAATGCATGACACACCGTTTAATGAAAGTATGATACACCTAATCACCAATGCATGATACACCGTCTGATGAATGCATGATACACCGTCTGATGAATGCATGATACACCGTCTGATGAATGCATGATAGACCGTCTGATGAATGCCTGATACATCGTCTGATGAATGCATGATACACCGTCTGATGAATGCACGATACACAGTCTCATGAATGCATGATACACCGTCTGATGAATGCTTGATACACCGTCTGATGAATGCATGATACATCGTCTGATGAATGCATGATACACCTAATGATGAATACATGATACACCGTTTAATGAATGCATGATACATCGTCTGGTGAATGCATGATACACCGTCGGATGGATGCATGTTACATCGTCTGATGAATGCATGATACACCGTCTGATGAATGCATGATACACCGTCTGATGAATGCATGATACATCGTCTGACGAATGCATGATACACCTACTAATGAATGCATGATACATCGTCTGATGAATGCATGATACACCGTCTGATGAATGCATGATACATCGTCTGACGAATGCATGATACACCTACTGATGAATGCATGATACATCGTCTGATGAATGCATGATACACCGTCTGATATATGTCTAATACATGGCTGATGAATGCATGATACAGCTTCTAATGAATGCATGATACACCGTCTGATGAATGCATGATACGCTGTCTGATGAATCCATGATACACCTACTAACCAATGCATAATACACACGCTGACAACCGCAACAACCGGTACAACCCATAAAGTCATAAGGGTCTGTGACACATTGCAATGGAATTTCCCTGTAGCGACATCACCGGCAGCGATATTTCATGTGGAGGCCAGTTTTGGATGATAAATTTATATATAGATCTATACAATAGTAAAGGTCCTGCCCAATCTATCAATCATTGCACAGACCGGCGGAACGTTATTATAGGCCTCAGAGGTTGGTGTATATTTCTTCTACACTCACCATGTGATGACCTGAGTGCTCCGTCTTCATATGATGCACTTTGTCTATGGGTACCAACGTTCTGCAAGGGCAGCCTGTTGTGACAGATTAAGAGTATTAGGTACAAGCTCACAAATTTTGCAAAACATGCATACTGATGTACAAAAGAAAGTACACACCTGGTGTTTTGAGACTATTAAAAAAACGTAAATATTTTGCTAGCAATGTTCCAACTGGGTACGATATCTATGGTGTTATTGCAACACGTACACACTGTTTGTGACTTGTGAGTCACAATGAAAACACTTTTCTAAATATTACGCTGTTTTAGGAAAACATTTGACCAAAGCATCAGGTGTGTACTTTCTTTTGTACGTCAGGCTACAACAGTTTTGATATAGCGTTGTCAAGTCCTACCTGATTAAAACGTCGTATTTGCCATTTTCGCCGTATCTGTGTTCACAAATGCTTTGATTCTCCCAGATGACCTGAAAATTGATTAATACATAGATATATGAACATAACACAATCTGTTGGACTACACACTCTAATAACAGATCATACGATCCGCATGGATTCTAAAATACGTTACATAATAAACTTCTCAAAAAAAATGTATATTTATACATTATCAGATACAGTAGGTTTATACTCTTACACAAAATATCAATTCGGTTCGATCATCACATCAGCTATGGGGAATCTATAAATACAGCAGCCTTTTTTTCACATCCACAGGAAATCTGTGCCAATAGCAGAGTCGACAGTAAGATATCATTAGAATGTGTTTGTGAATGACTATCAAATAGTGATGATAGTAGATGTTCGCGAAAAGGTTAGTGCCTTACTGTCTACGGGGAGGACATGGGAACGTCTGGTACAAGTCAAAATAGTAAATGGCATCTGACGTCTTTTTTCAACACAAATGTGTCGGATTTTGCGAAGACCTCAAGGTATCCACCAGAAAACTTATTGAAATGCTTACTGAGGCCTTGCATATTCTTCTGAGCAAGATTCGTATAGTAAATACACCAAGCACGATTGCACCTTAATGTAAACATGGAACATTGCTCGGCATTAATGGGAACTTGACTAATGGAAAGTTGAAATCGTCACTCTCGTAGTAAAGTCTTTATGCATCTAAATATGGGCCACGTGTGGCTGTTAGTCCAGGCTGGTTAATCAATGGAAAGGAACCGGACATGTGCTTTTTATTGAACGGTGTCAGATCATCAATATATCTGAAGCTTAAGTTCTTTCGTTTTCAATAGGCCAGTAGAAATTCCGATTTTTATGCATAGAGAAACAGATACGAAAGGAGGCGAACGAACACACATTGTGCCTGTGAGGGTACCTACTTCTTGTCTAAATGCCTTACGGCCACATTTTAAATAGAAGATATTTAAGAGGAAGTCCAGCACTCCAAATATAACTTCCACGGGGTGAAGTTTGTCAGAAGCTTTGTCATGTAGGATTGCGGTATACAAATACTACAACGCTATGACATCATGTGTGACATCACGTACCAGCACTCGGGCGTCAATTAGTCTGATGACAGTCCCTGACTGGTTATCATCACAGCTGCCCGTTTCCATGTCAGGACCTGACAAAGAAAGAATGTGTGAGTATAATAAAGTTACGACATGCATATCAGATTGATACGGTTATAACTAGAACCTTCCGTCCACATTTACTAAAGCTGTAAGCAAGACTATTATGTCCCACCGGACCTACTGCTCATGCATTCCTTTACTGACTGGTTTAACTCCATTCAGCGTGTTCATAATGTCCCTGGATACTACTGTACCTGTTACTCACCTGGCTGTACCTCCATTCCTATACTGATTGGCTCAACTACATCTGGCTTGCGTGAGAGACACCTGGATACTGTACTGTACACGTTACTCACCTGGCAGTATCTCCATTCCTATACTGATTAGCTCAATTTCATCTGGCAGGCGTGAGAGACACCTGAATGTTGTAGTGCACACGTCACTCACTTGGCTGTACCTCCATTCCTATACTGATTGGCTCAACTACATCTGACAGGCGTGAGAGACACCTGGATACTGTACTGTACACGTTACTCACCTGGCTGTACCTCCATTCCTATACTGATTGGTTCAACTCCATCTGGCTTGCGTGAGAGACACCTGGATGCTGTACTGTACCTGTTACTCACCTGGCTATACCTCCATGTCTATACTCAGTGGCTCACTTCCACCTGACGGGCATGAGAGACACCTGGATACTGTACTGTACACGTTACTCACCTGACTGTATCTCCATTCCTATACTGATTGGTTCAACTCCATCTGGCAGGCATGAGAGACACCTGGATGCTGTACTGTACACGTTACTCACCTTGCTGTACCTCTATTCCTATACTGATCGGTTCAACTCCATCTGGCAGGCGTGAGAGATACCTGGATGCTGTACTGTACAAGTTACTCACCTGGCTGTACCTCCATTCCTATACTGATTGGTTCAACTCCATCTGGCAGGCATGAGAGATACCTGGATGCTGTACTGTACCTGTTACTCACCTGGCTGTACCTCCATTCCTATACTGATTGGCTCAACTCCATCTGACAGGCATGAGAGACACCTGGATACTGTACTGTACACGTTACTCACCTGACTGTATCTCCATTCCTATACTGATTGGTTCAACTCCATCTGGCAGGCATGAGAGACACCTGGATGCTGTACTGTACACATTACTCACCTTGCTGTACCTCTATTCCTATACTGATTGGTTCAACTCCATCTGGCAGGCATGAGAGACACCTGGATGCTGTACTGTACAAGTTACTCACCTTGCTGTACCTCTATTCCTATACTGATTGGCTCAACTCCATCTGGCAGGCATGAGAGACACCTGGATGCTTTACTGTACAAGTTACTCACCATGATGTACCTCTATTCCTATACTGATTGGCTCAACTCCATCTGACAGGCATGAGAGACACCTGGATGCTGTACTGTACACGTAGCTCTCCATGCTGTACCTCCATTCCTATACTGATTGGCTCAACTCCATCTGGCAGGCATGAGAGACACCTGGATGCTCTACTGTACAAGTTACTCACCATGATGTACCTCTATTCCTATACTGATTGGCTCAACTCCATCTGGCAGGCATGAGAGACACCTGGATGCTCTACTGTACCTGTAACACACCTGGCTCTACCTCCATTCCTATACTGATTGGTTCAACTCCACCTGACAGGCATGAGAGACACCTGGATGCTGTACTGTACCTGTAACTCACCTTACTGTACCTCCATTCCTATACTGATTGGTTCAACTCCATCTGGCTTGCGTGAGAGACACCTGGATGCTGTACTGTACCTGTAACTCACCTAGCTCTACCTCCATTCCTATACTGATTGGTTCAACTCCATCGGACAGGCATGAGAGACACCTGGATGCTCTACTGTACAAGTTACTCACCATGATGTACCTATATTCCTATACGGATTGGCTCAACTCCATCTGACAGGCATGAGAGACACCTGGATGCTGTACTGTACAAGTTACTCACCATGATGTACCTCTATTCCTATACTGATAGGCTCAACTCCATCTGACAGGCATGAGAGACACCTGGATGCTCTACTGTACAAGTTACTCACCATGATGGACCTCTATTCCTATACTGATTGGCTCAACTCCATCTGGCAGGCATGAGAGATACCTGGATGCTCTACTGTACACGTAGCTCTCCATGCTGTACCTCCTCCCATTCCTATACTGATTGGCTCAACTCCATCTGGCAGGCATGAGAGACACCTGGATGCTCTACTGTACAAGTTACTCACCATGATGTACCTCTATTCCTATACTGATTGGCTCAACTCCATCTGGCAGGCATGAGAGACACCTGGATGCTCTACTGTACAAGTTACTCACCATGATGTACCTCTATTCCTATACTGATTGGCTCAACTCCATCTGGCAGGCATGAGAGACACCTGGATGCTTTACTGTACAAGTAACTCACCATGATGTACCTCCTCTATTCCTATACTGATTGGCTCAACTCCATCTGGCAGGCATGAGAGACACCTGGATGCTCTACTGTACAAGTTACTCACCATGATGTACCTCTATTCCTATACTGATTGGCTCAACTCCATCTGGCAGGCATGAGAGACACCTGGATGCTCTACTGTACAAGTTACTCACCATGATGTACCTCTATTCCTATACTGATTGGCTCAACTCCATCTGGATGCAGGCACTCACCATGATGTACCTCTATTCCTATACTGATTGAACTCCATCTGACACCTGGATGCTTTGCACAGGCACCTGAGAGACACCTGTACATGCTCCTATTCCTATACTGATTGGCTCAACTCCATCTGGCAGGCAGGCATGAGAGACACCTGGATTCTCCACTGGTACTCCATCCATGATGTACCTCTACCAAGTCTCACCATGCTGTACCTCTATTCCTATATGTACCTGATTGGCTCAACTCCATCTGGCAGGCATGAGGCTGTACTGACAAGTTACACCTGAGGACACCTGGATGCTCTACTGACAGTACACCTGATGCTCTTACTGTACAAGTTACTCACCATGATGGACCTCTATTCCTATACTGATTGGCTCAACTCCATCTGGCTATGAGAGATACTGGTTGCTCTCCATGCTGTACTCAACTCAACTCGATGGCTCCTCTCATCTGGCAGGCATGAGAGACACCTGGATGCTCTACTGTACAAGTTACTCACCATGATGTACCTCTATTCCTATACTGATTGGCTCAACTCGATCTGGCAGGCATGAGAGACACCTGGATGCTCTACTGTACAAGTTACTCACCATGATGTACCTCTATTCCTATACTGATTGGCTCAACTCCATCTGGCAGGCATGAGAGACACCTGGATGCTCTACTGTACAAGTTACTCACCATGATGTACCTCTATTCCTATACTGATACTGTACAAGTTACTCACCATGATGTACCTCTATTCCTATACTGATTGGCTCAACTCCATCTGACAGGCATGAGAGACACCTGGATGCTTTACTGTACACGTAGCTCTCCATGCTGTACCTCTATTCCTATACTGATTGGCTCAACTCCATCTGGCAGGCATGAGAGACACCTGGATGCTCTACTGTACCTGTAACACACCTGGCTCTACCTCCATTCCTATACTGATTGGTTCAACTCCACCTGACAGGCATGAGAGACACCTAGATGCTGTACTGTACCTGTAACTCACCTTACTGTACCTCCATTCCTATACTGATTGGTTCAACTCCATCTGGCTTGCGTGAGAGACACCTGGATGCTGTACTGTACCTGTAACTCACCTGGCTCTACCTCCATTCCTATACTGATTGGTTCAACTCCATCTGACAGGCGTGAGAGACACCTGGATGCTCTACTGTACAAGTTACTCACCATGATGTACCTCTATTCCTATACTGATTGGCTCAACTCCATGTGGCAGGCGTGAGAGACACCTGGATGCTGTATTGTACACATAACTCACCTGGCTGTACCTCCAGTCGTATGCTGATTGGCTCAACTTCATCTGGCAGGCGTGAGAGGCACCTGGATGCTGTACTGTACATGCTACTCACCTTGCTGTACCTCCATTCCTATACTGATTGGCTCAACTCCATCTGGCAGGCGTGAGAGGCACCTGGATGCTTTACTGTACATGCTACTCACCTTGCTGTACCTCCATTCCTATACTGATTGGCTCAACTCCATCTGGCAGGCTTGTGAGACACCTGGATGCTGTACTGTACACGTTACTCACCTGGCTGTGCCTCTATTCCCATACTGATTGGTTCAACTCCATCTGGCAGGCATGAGATACACATGAGTGCTGTACTGTACACGTTACTCACCTGGCTGTACCTCCAGTCTTATACTCATTGGCTCAACTTCATCTTGCAGGCATGAGAGACACCTGGATGTTGTAGTGTACACGTTACTCACCTGGCTGTACCTCCATTCCTATACTGATTGGTTCAATTCCATCTAGCAGGCGTGAGAGACACCTGGATGCTGTACCGTGCCTGCTACTCACCTGGCTGTACCTCCATTCCTATACTCAGTGGCTCAACTCCATCTGACAGGCATGAGATTCACCTGGATGCTGTACTGTACACGTTACTCACCTGGCTGTACTTCTATTCCCATACTGATTGGTTCAACTCCATCTGGCAGGCATGAGAGATACACCTGGATGCTGTACTGTACACGTTACTCACCTGGCTGTACCTCCATTCCTATACTGATTGGTTCAACTCCATCTGGCAGGCGTGAGAGATACCTGGATGCTGTACTGTACACGTTACTCACCTGGCTGTACTTCTATTCCCATACTGATTGGCTCAACTCCATCTGGCAGGCGTGAGAGATACCTGGATGCTGTACTGTACACGTTACTCACCAGGCTGTACCTCTATTCCTATACTGATTGGTTCAACTCCATCTGACAGGCATAAAAGAGACACCTGGATGTTTTACTGTACGCGTTAGTCGCCTGGCTGGACCTCCATTTCTATACTGATTGGTTCAACTCCATCTGGCAGGCGTGAGAGATACCTGGATGCTGTACTGTACACGTTACTCACCTGGCTGTACTTCTATTCCCATACTGATTGGCTCAACTCCATCTGGCAGGCGTGAGAGACACCTGGATGCTGTACTGTGCCTGTTACTCACCTGGCTGTACCTCCATTCCTATACTGATTGGTTCAACTCCATCTGACAGGCATGAGAGACACCTAGATGCTGTACTGTACACGTTACTCACCTGGCTGTACCTCCATTCCTATACTGATTGGTTCAACTCCATCTGGCAGGCGAGGATGATCATCCACGAGTAACACATTATACTGTCCGTTTGCACCGTATCTGTACCAGTTGCATGTTCCGTTGTCCCAATGCACCCATATGTACGCTACAGAAAGGACGGATGTTATTTTGTCAATAATAATCATGATGCATCTGGTTAAACCCCTAATGTCCAACCTACTGTCAGTTGCGCTGTGTAAAGAAAGTGGAGAAACAAGAAGGTAGCTAGAAAAAGATGAGTTTTTAGTTGGCTGCTAAATGCTTCCAGGGAAGATACTGATCTCAGTTCCAGAAAACTGGTGCAGCATCACTGAAAGCTCTGTCTCCATGGATGTTTTTGTTGCTGGCATTTTGTTAAATGCATCTTGCGTCACACTTGCCAATAACACACCTGCCAATAACACACTTGCCAAGAACACACTTGCCAAGAACACACCTGCCAATAACACACCTGCCAATAACACACTTGCCAATAACACACTTGCCAATAACACACCTGCCAATAACACACCTGCTAGTAGCACACCTGCCAATAACACCAATAACACACCTGCCAACAACACAAATAACACACCTGCCAAAAACACCAATAACACACCTGCCTTCCTTCTTCAACAAACAGTAACAAGTACACTCAAATCTAATTGTAAGCACATAATATATATGAAGTTATTTTACTTTGGTTCTCGTCAAAACAAATACACAGAGTATTACAAAATATTACTACAGGTATATATACTTTTTGTTGATTTTTGTTCCTAATAACAAGTCTGTTTTACATGTAAGTGGGGTGAAGAATATACTAGGCCTCATAACTGAAGTTAAGGGTTTGTTTATGAGCAGTGTGGTTTTGGTACTTTCTGTCAGATAGTTCAACCATTATGCCAGTCCCCATACCTCCCTCAATGGCATGGTTGACTATCGTCCCTGTCCCCTCCGTGTCTTCGTTCTTCCACGTCCAGTCGGGGCCTCGCATCACTCTTTTCCCAAGGGGAGGGAGGTCATCTGATATGTTGACGTTGTCAAATACATCCGTAGCCCCAAAGTCCATGTCAAGATTAGCACTGACCTTCTGCATAACAGCTGTCTAGTTGAAAAAATGTACTCACTTAATACTAATAGTAGTCAATTCATTTTATTAGAGGGCGGTGGGGTAGCCTAGTTGTTTAAGGCGGCGTAAAATTAAACTAACGCACTCACTCATTTTGTCCGATGGATACAAATCATTAAGGGAACTTTATATTCATGTATTTCCATGCATATCATATTTCGACACAAATAAATAAGACCTTTATGCATTGCTTTAAAACCGTCACTGCTCACAAAGGTGGTGGGCAGATACATATGTTATCAAAAGATTCTGTGGTCATGGGGAAATTAACTTGCATCTTTTGGGATATTTCCCATAAACAAGCATAATGGCTATTTATGTTGAAGTACTCCTTGAGACCATCGACATGAATCTGTAATGTCTGGCCATGTTGATAACCGTGGAATACACGAATAGCAAGAAAATGTTTACTTTTTCAGCAATTGATAGATCCTGGCAAACGGCGTCAACAATGAGATCGACGTGTTTTACTCGTGCTACACGCAGGGCAGGGTCCACTTTAACAAATTTGATGATTTGTGCAACGAGGATCTGAAAATATATACATTCATATTGACAAGTCGTGCGTGTGTGTATGATTAAGAGGTTTCTATACAATCGTACAATGTTTTAAATTAGGAATATGGACATAACATATTGGAAATTTAACAGCACTATTATTGCTGAAACACTACTTGAGTCATACAGCTGATCTTCTGCAACACATTCTTGATTAAGATTAACAGGGTCGCTGGTCAAGCTAAATACCTTAATCATAATATGGCATCGTATTCTAATTGCAAAGACCGTTGTTTCATAACACCAGTCACTGTACTGCCTGGTCTAGAGTGGAATATACAGGACCGGTGTCATATCAGAGGAACATCGCTGGATGTGGCGTTGTACTGTACAACGTACAAACCAAACCACGTCTTACTCACTTGTACCCTTTGGTGGTTGCAGATTGTCTTGACATCCTCAACAATCACCCCTAGACACATATCAGCTGTTGACTGCATCAAACTCTGAAGTTCAAAAAGTACAGTGCCAAGATACCCAAAGACAGAAGGCGTAAGCAAAACAGCAGGGACTTAAAATACACAAAAGTCAACGGAAGATAACCCCGGCCCCCACAGTTACTTAAAGTCCAAAACGTTTCCTTGGAAACCATGAAAAATATAGTTGCCAAAAATCCGCAACTAGCAAAAGGCACCTGGGATCTGTTAGGTATATCTGTTAAGTTTTGTTGATAGATATTGGGCTTGTTTTTGTGTGTGTGATAAGCTCCAGAAAATAATTCACTCCTTTTTCTAAACGAAGTCCAAATTGTTTCCATGGAACTCCAGGGGAATAAATATGCCAAAAAATTCTAAATAGCAAAAGGCACCACTTTAGGTCTGTTGGGTACCAAATAACGTTATACCTCATGTAGTAACATTTTGATACTTTTAAGTGTCTTGATCAGTGGCCTGTCTGTTTACCAATCATCATGATCGGACGCCACAGGAGTGAATCTTAGCCCACGATTTGTTTTTCCTGGTCCAAACTCAATCACTTCAAGTGAGTGATTAAGTTTTGGTTTTACACCGCTTTTTAGCAATATAAACGGGGGGGGCACACACATTGTAGCATTGTACCCATGTGGAGAATCGAACCCGGGCCTTCGGCGTGACGAGCGAACGCTTTAACCACTAGGCTTCCCTACCGCCCCTCAAAATATTTCAAGACCGTTATAGTAATATATTTGGATTATTCCACACAAGTTTTACAACGGAACATTAATGTATAAATCATTAGATTAACCTTTTGTGCATTTCCATGCGGTACAAAAACGATTGGGCTGACCACACGTTCCGTTTTGGGGTTCATCATTATCTGCATCAGTGTGGCCGTAAAGTACTGGAATCCCTGCATTGAGAAACATGTACATTTATTACACAAAACAAAGGTTAACACATGGACTTCTAAACTAACGCTTAGTTTCTGAATGTACATAATTATGATGTTAACAAATAAACCCATTTATATTGAAAAGAAGACCCCTTGAGATGTGAAATACGTGAACTAAAGGAAATCAAGACTTGCTTCATTTAGGGCTTTAGCATTGTAGGGAGTAGGGAAAATATTTTCGTTCGGGGACTGTGAGACAGGCTAATGAACTTTGTGTGTACGCTACAAAATAAACGCTTTCAAATTAAATAAAAATTAAATATGTCTATATATGTATATAGATTACTGAATGTGACTGAATGTGACTCAAATCAGTCATAGATATCCCGATTCCATACTGTCACCAATCTGATAAAAGCTACATTGACATTGAGTCAACTTGTTTTCTCAGAATGGCAACACCGGTTATGTTCAAAACAACACATAGCGAACATCCTGCATCTACAACATTGCCAGCTACATATGCCAGATGTTACACTAAATCGGTTTCCAATATTTCTGGAACCATTATGAAATGGTCAGTGTAAAACATCATCTGGAAGTTGACAATGAGCAATGGATCCATGGCTTCTTTGTCAAAGTATGGAATACCTGTGCGTCCTGTACTTGTTCCCTCTTGAAGGGTGTTATTCCATCTGTCACCACCACCATCCGAGGCGGAACTTTCAGATACCCACCGAAATCGCAAACACCTCCTGCATATGAATGTAGTAAGTATCAGTTATGGTGTTATTGTTCATCTGTTCACTACTGACCTTTCTGTGTCACTCAGTGTCAGGGTATTGTATAATTATGACACTGTAGCATATTTTAACCGAATGCCGATTTAGTTTTGTTGATTTATCAAATTTTTTGTTCATTTAGAATTGGTCTTCAGCAACCCACTCTTGTCGTAAGAGATGACTAAAGGGATCGGATGGTCAGGCTCGCTGACTTGGTTGACACATGTCATCGTATCCCAAATGAGTAGATCGATGCTCATTCTGTTGATCACTGGATTGTCTGGTCCAGACATATCGCCGCCATATCGCTGGAATAGTGCTGCGTGAAGCGTAAAACACCAACCAACCAATCAATCAATTAATCAATCAACCATCGTTTATAAAGGTCAACTTACCTTTGGTTAGAGCTGCTACACATACGAGCATGTAGTGGAGAAAGGGCGAGTATCCGCCATACTCAATTTCCTCTATGTAACAAGTTTGAATTCCAACATGAAAGAATCAACTGAGACATTCGCTAATACCATATAAACATGTATTTTCGTATTAACACGAATAACTCTTCTTCTTGAAGAATAAACCTTATTGTTCTCTATGAGTAAAAAGGGTTATTCAGTAAGTTTCTTACAAAGGCTTAGTTCTAATCTTTCTTACAAAAGGCTTAAATACTATTTTGGACGGTTGCATCATTTTCTCTTCAACATTTTCTGACAAATTATTTCTAAATTATAACCCATATACTCCTTATATTACTCCAAGACGTTATATCTATCATATCTATCATATCTATATATATCTGAAAGAGTGTCATACACATTACAAATTATGAAAAAGTAAGTTTCTATATACCTCCAACAAAGGTGTTTTCTTAATGCTACGTATCTGGAAGGCATAACCTCCCTTCGGTACATCAGGATCCTCACCTACTGCCTCCTTTAGACTTTCATAGTCGTTTGAAAAGGGATGAAGTATACCGGGCCTTCTTCCGAAAACAAGAATGCATATATTTTCTTCTACTCCATATTCCTCGGCGTTGTTCTCGATACCTAGAAGAAAATGCATAATCATATGCATGAACTGCATGAAGATTCATTATGTCCTGTCCTAAACTGTCAGTTAATGAACACAAACACAGAATGTACAACATAATACAGTGCATTAGCCATACTGGCATATGATTACTTTATTTGGAGAGATCTTACAGTATGTTACATAGTACATGTTTAGTCAGTACACAATCATTCAGCAAGATGTAGATACCCAACATTTGTTTATATAGTGATAGAAAAATAGCTGTAAAATGCCTTACATGCTTGACTATGAATGGTACAATACTTACTTTTCAAGCTACAATTGCTTTGATATGTTAGTTCAATAAATAACATTTTATAAATCAAACATGATATATTTACATACAGTATTCATTATGAACTAACAGAAACCAACCAACAGTGAGTGAGTATGGTGTTATGCTTTTAGCAATATTCTAGCAATATCATGGCGGGAGACATTAGAAATAGGTTTCACACATTGTACCTATGTGGGAAATCGATCCCTGGCCTTCGGTGTAAGGAGCCAACGCTCAAACCACAAGGCTACCCCCCAGTCAACAGTGGAGACATACCTTCTATGAAGCTGTACGCAATGCGCTGTAACCGCTGTAATCCAAGCCTACCCATGTCACCCGAGGTGTCCAAACATAGCAATGTATCTGTTCCCTTGCCCGCCGTTGGAACTGCATGACTTTCTGCAAACACATTTGGAAATAAATGTCGCAGCATGTTGTAACTACCTCAAGGACACGCACGGACTAATATTTCTACATGTCCTTTTTCATTTCCAGATACGAGAGGACGTACACTCACCACCATGGAGAATATGTTCCACTTCAGTCCAACAATTACCCCCAACGTCTTCGGTAACCTCCCTTAATTGATGCAGGATCGCATGGCCGTCATTTCCATCAGTTGTTTTGGATACGGTTATATCTAAACTGAAATTGATCACATATTAGCATATTTTCCAATATCATACCTCCACATAGTTTGCATGAAGCAGTTGGCATTAAAGGTCAGTTATTTTAAAATAATCAAATGTAATAATTAAATGTTGTGCAATATTTGTTATGTTTTGAATACGTACATACGACACATTTCCCATCTTTATACACATGATTGTTAGCAATGAGGAGGGACCCATAGCGATGAGAGTATATTTTACAATGATGTCTGCTACAGCGTCAGCTTTGCTGAGCCCAGCAGCATATGGTGCAACTGTGTGGAGATAAGCACTACCAGACAACAAAACGGTAAAATCAAACGCAGCCTATGGAAGCACAAACAACTTTTATCTTTCAACGTCTACCTTAATATCTGATCGGCTTGTTCTTCGTAACTATTGGGAAGTGTTGTCTTTGATTTGTTTACAGAACTTTTCTCAGATAAATCGCTTAGATGTTCCCCCTTTCCAAAACCGGTGCCGGTGTTCCATGACCTGTTTGTGTGACGTCCATCTTGTTTGGCTGAGTCTACCCAACCTGGATTGGTGTCGCTGGCTGACAGTCTATCCTTCCCATTGGCATCAATGTTCCGATCATGCTCTTCGTTCTCCATTTGATTTTCATGCTGTTCCTCCTCCGGGCTTGCATACATTTTGTCATCGTGCATGGAGGTAGACGCTGAACTTTCTTTAGAGCACCATTTAACATTGTCATTCTTCAGTGTTCCCCCATACAAGTCGTCATCAGGCTCAGATTCAGATGTTGACAACTTGTTGCCAGCCTGGAATGCCCCAAGTCTATGTTCTCCAGGGCTTTCTTTACAGTTTCCCGAACCCTGATGTCGAGTTGCGCCGCCTCTTTCCAGGTGAGGGCTGATTTGACCATCTTCATGTTTCTGCGAGTTAGGATTATTCTCTACAAGGTGTCTCTGTTCGGAGATTTCCGTACTTCGACAAGATTTCCCCTCCTGGCCGTGTTCCTCCACGTCACTAAGTTCATACACTACGCTCTCTGTAGAACTGTAATGTAAAAATATACATCGGTTACTGTAGTTATCTCTGACTCCACTAACTCCAAAAGATGCACATCTCTGAACTATGTAGCATGCACAAGCATTACTACATTTAAGCTGAAAGTATTCACGGACGTTACTGTGCAGGATATAGTTTATCAAATTTTCTGACTTCCTTGTTCATCAAATGACATACAACGCAATCTGGCTTGAAATATTAAATTATATCGTGTTAACTTAAAAGAAAGATGTATTAAGTAATTTGGATACAGTCTATTCATATGGTTTCCTCCCAAATTATATACCTATTTAACATCAAAATAACATTCCTATTTGTAACGTGAGGAGCGGTTTAATCGTACTGTACGCCTTGGTGTCAAAAATTCATTTCAGTACAAATTACTGTCACATGCCCACCGTTCGGAAAGCCTATAAGTGAAGCTTATCACGTCATGCCCAAACACAACTAAAATACCCACACGCCAGTGTGAGTGAGCTGAGTTTTACGCCGCACTAAGCAACATTCGAGCTATGTGGCGAAGGTTTGTAAATAATCTAGTCTGGACCAGACAGTCTAGTGATCAACAGCATAAGCATCGATCTACGCGATTGGGATACGATGACGTGTGTCAACAAAATCAGCGAGCCTGACAATCCGATCCCATTAGTCGCCTCTTACGACACATGTAAGGTCCAACCTCTTGGTTTTAAAGGTTTTCTCCTTATTAATTCCCTGCATATATCGATCTGCGATGATCCGGGTTAGAATTGGTCTTCAGGAACCCATGCTTGTCGTAACGGGATCAGGTGGTCAGACTCAGTCACTTGGTTGACACAAGTCATCGTATCCAAATTGCTTAGATCGATGCTCAAGTTGTTGATCACTGGACTGTCTGGTCCAGACTCGATTATATACAGACAGCTGCCATACAGCTGGGATATTCGATAGTGCGATGTTAAACAACCATACCAAACTCTGCATATATTATCTCCACATTTATTACGTGATAATCCCCTTCACAACGGTTATACAAACCCTGTTTTGTGCAGCTGGGAGTTGTTTGTGAAACACCATCGACTGGCATAGGAAGGGGCGGACATATTCACCAGTCGTATTTTCATCTCAACCTCACCATGTGCCAAATGCGACATAAATCGTTGGAAAATAGTTCTTAGTCCCCGTGCATTTTTTCTCATGGCTTTCATTGAATGATTGTCTTCATGTTGAAAAATGAACGAGATGGGACTCAGTCTGACGTGTATCAACCTCGCCTTGAAAGTCTGGAACATGAGACTGACGAAATGAAACAAGCGACCATTGGTTGTGTCAACATGGAGACTCATCCGCCTTTCGAAGTCTGCGGAACGGTGTTTTGGTGCCAATGTGATGGATGAGGAGACAGCGTGTTCGGTAACATGGTCCTCCCAGTACACTGCCACGAGGCACGCTCCATCTGAAGAATAGTGAGTGAGTTTAGTTTTACGCCGCACCCGGAAATATTCCAGCGGTGGTCTGTAAATAATCGAGTCTGGACCAGACAATACAGTGATCAGCATCATGAGCATCGATCTGCGCAATTGGGAAGCGATGACATGTATCTACCAAGTCAATGAGCGTGACCACCCGACCCCGTCCTCGCCTCTTACGACAAGCATGGGTTACTGAAGACCAATTCTAACCAAGATCTTCACGGGTAACATCGTAAGAATAACAGTAACGTGAGAAAATGTTCCAAACAGAGATAGACAAAGGTCTGTAACACTGATGAATCCTAAACCTGTGAAACATGAAGATACCGACACATTATTTCATAGAGACTTTTCGGTGCTGTGTCAATGTCTATCTACAATATATATTCTAATTCAGTTAGTACATTCATTCTACTACATAGCATCATTAGATTGAAAAAAAATGTTTTCCTTAAATCACTTTATTGCATCAACGCTGTCGCAACATGACAACTAAAACAGGATCAGGTTTCATTACATTGAAACAAATAATATATTGTGACATTCAGGAAGCAAGAAAGACGGATTATGACAAAGTATTGTACCACACAAAGACTTATTACCTCATTACTTTTAATGGGGCGGTGGGTTAGTCTAGTGGTTAAAACCTTCGCTCGTCACGCCGAAGACCCCGCCATGATATTGCTTAAATATTGCTAAAAGCGGAGTAAAATCAAACTCACTCACTAACAGTTACCTTTAATGACCTGGTCTGTTCTAAGTCTCTCCAGCAGAGCGTCATCAAACCACAAGTCCACAACCGGCAGGCACTTATGTGAGCGCACAATAGTCTTGCCTCGGATTTCCCGGTAATTCACTTCAGCCATCGCCTGGGAACTAGGGAAATACATCTAAATAGGTTTTCAAATGACTCTTAGAAGCCGTATATAGCTGGCACTCTATAAATATACTCAGCAGCAAAACAAATGTCAGTACGAATAGTGCAGGGGCTTGTGTAATTCCGTGGGAATTACATGTTAATTTTTGGAATCAATACTAATTGTTATCATTATTGTGTATGGATTCAGGAAAAACAAGGTTCCATTTTTCTGTTTGCTATAAGTGTCATTGTGGGGTGATGGAATATGAGTTCCCAAAATTGCTTGCGACACCATTTCGAGAAAAACATGTTTTCATAAACCTATCACAACATAGTCATGTAGCATATCAAAAGGGAGCTTATGATGTATGACATAGAGACAAGCTTCGACATTATTTGTCATACAAACACAATCATGAATTCTTTTTTTTCTTAATTTGGAAACTAGAAGGGCCCTCCTTATAGAACATGCCTCCGCCTTGCACAGCAATTTCCTTTCACTGTTACATGTTTAAAGTACTAATGTATATTTCTACTGTAATGTACTTTCACCAAACTGTTCGCAGATAGCCCTTGTATCATACCTAACATAACCACCAAGATTCATTCAAATCCATCCATAACTTTTTTAGTTATTATTCATATTCTCCATTTTTTAACATTGCGATTATTTAGTACCTCTGTGTACATGTACATTAACATACACTCTTCAAAAAAGGGAAAAAAAGAAACCAAAACAAAATTTGAAATAATGCAAGTTGGTATGCAAATGTCAAATTAAGCATGTTTGAGGGCTGAATATTGTTGTTATTATGGTTTAGAAGAACATGCGTGAGCGAATGCAACCATAAACGATTTTGAATGGTTTTATCGATCACGATTGTCATGATGAGCTTGAGTGGTATGGAACACAACCAAAAGCCGCAATTATTGCTTTTCGCGTGCAACCTATGACTATAAAAGACCCAAATGTATCTCACCCAGGACCCTTGCAAATATTGGATGAGAAAATGGGACGTCTCAACGGTGCCCACCGAAATATAGCCATTGGACGGTTACAAGCTGGCAAATCCAAGAGTGTCGTGGCGAGGACCTTCAGCGTTCATCCCAGGACAATACCTCGTTTGTGGGATCGTTTTGTGCATTCAATTTCAACAAATGACCATCCAAGACCAGGAAGACCGCGAGTCACCCCACAGACCAAGATCGCTACATCCGGGTAACCCACCTACGTGACTGCCATCATTCCACCCGGGACACTGCACAAGAACGGTTCGGAGCCTGGAGCATGTCCGACAATCAGGAACCGTCTCCGAAAGGTAGGTATGCGTGCCAGACGTCCACAAGTTGCCCCCTCTCTGACACGATTACATCAACGTCCGTGAGTCAGTTGGTGTAACGCGGTGCTGCCATGGAGCCTTGGAAACTGGAGGCACATATGGTTCAATGATGAATCGCGGTATCCCCTCAAGCGATTTGACGGAAGACAACGTGTCTACAGACCACGCAATGAACGTTTTGCATCCAAATGCATCAGGCAAGTGGACAGATTTGGAAGAGAAGGAGTGATGTTGTGGGGAGCCATCTCATACACCTGCAGATCGGAATTGGTGCTCGACCAAGGCAATCTTAAGGCAGCGAGACATATCGACCAGCTTCTCTGTCCTCACGTGCATCGTCTTGTCGACCGCCAAAGGGAGCTGGACCACCAGGACGACATCAGACTTCACACAGCACGTGCTACAGTTGACTACCTGGACAATAACAACATCAATGTCCTCCCCTAGCCCTCCAGATCCCCAGATCTGAAACCATTGATTATGTGTGGGATCAGATAGATAAACGTGTACGTCAACGTCGCAATCCGCCATTGAGGCTTTAACAGTAACTGTTGTTCAACATGCTGCAGAAGGAATGGAGGATTCCACAACGAAACATCCAACAACTGATTCAATCTGTGTCAAGGAGGTGTCGTACAGTTCTAGCAGTAAGAGGTGGCCATACAAGGCAGTAATGTCAGCGTCACCTCGTGGACAGCAGCAGTAATGACTATGATGACTATAATTTTTGTGAAGTGTGCACGAGATACCAATGTATTGCTCTACATAATTTCAATGCTGTACCCTTTTTTTTCGTTGATTTACATAATTGAATAAGACCAATTTTTCAATAATATTTTGCTTTTGCGTTTCTTTTTTTTGAATAGTGTACTTTTTCAAAATCTAATTGATTTGTCCTGGGGACATACCCAAGAGATCCAGAACGTTTCATTGAAATCCATCTAGTAGTATTTGAGTAAAGATGCCAACACATAAATACACTCACACAAGCAGGGTTGACTGGATACCCTCTGAAACACACCGTCAGTTTTTGGCAGAAGTATTTATGATCATAGTGATTATTATGCATCATATATTATTGAGATTCATGATATATAATGGTAGTTTTGACATACTTCATGCATATGTTGTGATAGTTATATAAAAATATGTTTTTCTCACATTGGTAACTCGATTATGGGTACCGATGTTCAGTTACCCAAGAATGATACTTATAATCATCAAAATAAATGGAACCATGTTTTTTCTGAATCCATATGCAATACTGATCACAATTATCAGTGGTTCCAAAAATTAACATGCACTTCCCACGGGAAGCATTTTTGCTACATAAGCCCCTGCACTGGAATTTTAAATTAAATAGGCACTGTAATAATAATAATAATAAGTCCATCTGTATAGCGCCCTATATCCAATCACCAAGTGGTAGCTCATGGCGCTAACTATATACATATTTACAACAGGAGTTCATTTAGATGTCATAGTGCTTCTTGAACAGTTAGACTGGAAGCTGGCTATTGAGGGGGATTCTTTGAGAGACACGTGCAGATTGTTCTAGAGGATAGCTGACACGTAGGAAAAACGTCGGTCGACGTAGCACACCGCTGTGATGCCGCCTCCTTTCCCTGGACCAAGGTTCTGGGACACCACAGAACCCACTCTCTGGTTTAAGCCTATTCCATCCCATACCATGATGCTTCTACCTCCCCTTGAGTCTCTTTCCATAACACATTGGTCTGAGTAACGCTGGCCACCTCGTCGGCATATTCGTGTTCTGTCATCTGCAGTTGATACGCAGTACCGACTCTCATCTGTGAACAGAACAGTTCTCCATTGCCTGTATCGCCAGTTTTGGTGTTGTATGGCAAACTGTAGATGTTCACGCCGATGACGAGGGGTGAGGATAGGTCCACGTTAAGGTCCACGGCAATGGAGGCTCCAGCTGTTAATACGTCGGCGTACTGTATCAGTACTGACTGGTCTTCCGTGTGTTCCCACTGTCTGGCGTGCTGTTTCGGATGCCTGCATGAAGGGATTCTGCACATGCTGTCGCACAACATGGCGGTCTTGTCGTCTTGTGGTCACCCTTGGTCTGCCAGTACAGGGGCGATCATTTGTGGAGTTGGTGGCCCGGAAACGTTCCTGCAGCCTGTAGATGGTCCGAACGTTGACCTGGTAGTGATTGGCAACGGCTTGTGCAATGTGGCCAGCTTCAAGTCTTCCTAGCGCCTGGTTCCTCTGAGCTGCCGTGAGTCGCGGCATCCTGCTGCCGTTGAAATGTGAATGTTTCAACCAGGTCTGAGGATGCATTTTATAGGGTTGGTACTTGTGAACAGCACATGCAGAATGAGTTGCATGAAAAACATGGGGAACACCGTACCATCTCCGAGATCAGTTTGCGTTTTTGAGACCATTTCCTGGGTTCAGTTCAGGTCACTGAAATGTCAAGGCCATCTATGGCCGACAAGTGAGTATGATTGCCGATGGTTTTTGAGAACATGCCTGCTTACTGTCGAGGAAATGATTTGTAGATGTTGCAATTAGCTTTTAGACCCGTGCAATGGCGGTGCCGATCGAATCTAGCCTTACATAGGTGCTGTCAACGTGGCTGGAATTAATAAACGAATTTATAAGGTGTGTTTTCGCTGTCTTGGGTGATCCATGATTTGGGCTTGGAATTGCGGAGGTTGCTGTTTCCGGTGAGTCGTGGCGTATAACTTTTGAAATAATGATCCGATTGTGACCAATTATAGCTCATTTTGTAGAGAAATCATCTCGCTTTTGATCCGTAGGCCTCGACGGAGCCTTAAAATGGTTTACGTGGTGAAATCTAACTTAGATTGAGGAGGGGTGGTTCCGTCGTTACATCCCTTTCCTTTTATATAATACTAGGGTAGGGTCTATATACCTATATGTCTTTCTAACGCTGTTTCTAAGCGTGACACACCCCTGTGGTTCCAGCGAATGGACGATAGAGGATGGGCGGGAGTGCGTCACAACTGAAAAGGCTCATCATCATACAAAGTTAACGGAAAAATAGAAGACTCAACGTTCTCACAGATTCGGAATGTGAACCAAATCACAGATCACATTTCTCAAAACTACGGTTAAGTAATCATAAATTGGTAGACGTACAAAACCTGCAAAACCACTAGAACAACGTCTCTTTAAAATGTGTAATGTCTTAGAAGATGAGCAGCACCATGTAATATCCTGTACAAAGTATAGCAAAGAAAGAGAATCACTTTTACATACAATCCTTAATCATGAGCAAGAATTTGCTACACTCTGCAAAAATGAACAATTCTTCACAATTTTCACGAACGGATGTACAGAAACAATTTCCAAACTATGTCATCATATCAATTATTTACAATTTTGTATGAATATTGTGTATCACACTAGTCTCCTCATATCGTTTCCATGTCATTATACTACATATGATTTTTGAAAATGTTGTACCTTATTTATATGTGAAATGTATCTGCGTATTTCTATATCTTTGTACCTTCTATGCGATAAATATCAGATTCTTTCTCTTATCTTATCTTATTGACCGTTCATAACTTATGGCGGGGATGGAGGGTGGGGTTGGGGAGTGATGGTGACTATTATGGAGAAGCATGTAAAATGTGAATAACATGTCATGTACAAAATCGGTAATACCTCCACCCACCGACCCATTATTTTAAAATATAAGTATGTACAAAATTGCTGACTCCCCCTACCCCCAGTACATATTTACAAAATTGATACCCCCTCCCAGAACAAAATAGGACACACACACACACACACACACATTCATCACCATACACACAAAGAGACAGACACACAGAGCTAAAGAGAGAGGGACACACACACACAGAGACACACAGAGAGAAAGAGAGAGAGAGAGAGAGAAAGAGAGAGTGAGCGAAAGAGAGAGAAACACACACATACATATTGAGACATACAACACACGGAGACAACTCTAAGAACAGAGACAGACACACAGAGCGAAAGAGAGAGGGACACACACACAGAGACACACATTGAAGAATATCTCTGTCAATTAGCTCCCCAACCCATTCACTCATTTATCTAACCCGAGCACATACTTCCCACAACAAACCAGTTGAAAGGGGATGTTGGCGAGTTACTTCCCTTTAAACTACTACCTGCTGCCATATTGCCATGTTGCTATTATTCAACATTTGAAAAGATTGTTCATGTGCAGGTGACTAAACCTTCATTGAATGATGTCAGTGTATGGTCCATACGTGAATGTGTGAGCGAGATTACGTGAGGAATATGCACGAAGAAAAGATAGCACCTACAACGAAACAACATATCCAGGAAATAGATATATAACACACAACCCGGGCGCACCTCGGCAGGCACATGAAAATATCGCAGGAAAACAATTAAGTCAAAACATATTGGTGTGACAAACAAACTTACCAGAAATTAACCACTATTCATCCCCCAGATGTTTTCAGTGTTCCTCAATCGGTTACGAGATTGGGGTTTTCCGGGTTTCTATTTATAGACCAAGTGACGCAGTCTGTTGTGTTCACAGGACATGTTTCTGCGTCTATTGGCGTAACAAACGAAACAATTCTCATTATGTTACATTTTCAGGATTATCGTTTGGTTTGTGAGGTTATAATACATACATCCCTCAGTTTTATCGTTATCAAGTGGCCTCATCAAAATCATTTAGATGAATAATTAGGAACCTGCGTTTTAAGTGTGTCCTAAAATGTAAACCTAAGGCTGCTGAGTGTACAAGGCAAAGATAGCTTGACTGATGCTAGTGTTTTTTGCCCTGTACATCTCCTATACTGAAAGACCCTTGAAGGTCCGGGGTAGAATAGGCCTTCAGCAACCCATGCTTGCTATAAAAGGCGACTATGCTTGTCGTAAAAGGCGACTAACGGGATCGGGTGGTCAGGCTTGGTGACTTGGTTGACACATGTCATCGGTTCCCAATTGCGCAGATTGATGCTCATGCTGTAGATCACTGGATTGTCTGGTCCAGACTCGATTATTTACAGACCGCCGCCATATAGCTGGATTATTGCTGAGAGCGGCGTAAAATTTAACTCACTCACTCACCTATACTGACAGCATGAAATGCAGCTGGAATTCGGCAGCCTGTCCCATCCACCCACCCACCCACACACACAGCAAACAGGGCTCCATGGTTGACCAAGTCAGTGGAGTATATAATACTGGCTCCACGTACAACATTCGTTAGCGAGTACTACACTGGTTACATGTCCAGAGCTACAGTACAGATAACCTTTGGGTCATTGAGTTATGTACTCGCTTGTGTTCATCTCAATTGGGTATGCTATTTGTGTTGTGACGGTTTGGGGGTTGTGTGGTGGAATGGGGAGTGGAGAATATAGAATGTTTCTTGTTCGAATTTGTACAAAGGATGAGAGATGTTTTTATTACAGAATGGTATACCGGTATAGAAACTTCTTCAAAAGTATGTACATTTAGGCGTTTTAAGACAATATTTGAACCAGAACGATATTTAAATGCTGTTAAGATAAAGAAGTATAGATGATTATTAGCAAGTTTAAGGTGTGGAGTTTTACAATTAGAAATAGAAACCTGGAGGGCTAAGGGTATTATCAGGGAAGAAAGATATTGTCAACTTTGTAAAAACGGTAAAATAGAAGATGAAATGCACTTTATGTTAGAATGTAAATCTCTTAATAATATTAGGAAGAAATACATACCAGAAACATTTTCTACAACTGCCAGTAGGACATAATTTTATATCACTAATGACCTCTAATAATGATGAGATAATTAAGAATGTTAGCCTATTATATATATCATGCAACTGTCTTAAGGAAATCGTTATTATGTTGATGACGCTTATGCACATCATGTGATTTATTGTCTATGTACATATTATTGTACAATTTTTGTTACGGGCCGGTGGCCTAAAAGCAAATAAACTATTGACTTGAATACTCGCTTGTGTTCATCTCAATTGGGTATGCTAATTTTCATTTGAGTAACCAAATGAATTATACCCACCTCACTCAAACTCAGTTGGGTATTTTACCATTTTCCATTATTTGTGAAAATAGAATAAAGTTTAAATGTTGGTTGACGTGTGTGTTATTTATATTTGATCTGTAATATGAGAAAAGATAAGAAAGGCTGCAAGTTGCCAAGTTCATGTGCTGAAATAGAACCTCTCAATGTACCTCTGAGTCTGGTATTCTCTCTATCCCCAGTAACCTCCATCTGTAGCGCATGGGTCTGATTACTTCAAATTCTAGTAGGTTTCCTGAATGTTACAGTACGCAAGCTAGGATTTGACATATTTGTGTGTACGCATGTTAGATCAAATTTATTAAGTATTTACAAAACGTCAAGCATACCTGTACGCAATAGCCTTGAAAGGAATTGAGTTTTCACATAGATGTTTGCGTAATTTACGCAGATACGCAGCTTATCTGTACCTCTGCCATGACATTAGTAAACCAGTAATAATGCACACCATTCGTGAGCGAATATAAAGCTAGGTTTCCGTCGTCTGCGTAATTGCGTGATGCGTTGTGCGTATTACGTGTGCGTAGTGTCAAATTCCATGTATACGCGTATAAAGCCTATGCGATGCATTAAATCAAGTCTTTCTTTTCCTGGAGATCGTACTGATCACAAATGTCGACAATGACACCTTGTTTTACAAAGAATGCTAGAGAACTAACAGACATAACAGAATAACAGGATGAAGAGGATGTGATTTTTGCAGGTGTATTTTACTGATATTATGTGTGAAAAAATAACACAAAAAACGAAGCCACCGGTAATGGGGCATGAACCCCCTGAGACTGTTTTGACAGTACGGGGTGGTGTCAGCTCTTGGCGAGTTCACCACTTACTGAATACTAGTATACTTTGCAAGAGTGAGTTCTATAAGGAGAAAGTATAGAGTGAATGTCATTTATCATGGGGCACTCTGTAAAATACATAGTACAAAGCTCCCTTATCTCAGAAAATACCAATCTTTGTAACTAATTATACATTACGCTTCACAAATAAGACTTTGCATGTAGAAAGCTGACTAATCTATATTCTTCATGTACCAAGACAATGTGTCAGAAATCAAGGTATAACACCTACGCACGTCTCAAACTGACGTACCTGGAAATGTTGCAACGTATGTATGGATGAAGGGACGCAACTCTCCCAATATTACACAAATGTACGAGAGGACTCAGCTATCACTGCTCATGTGCTCCCATTGTGGTGTATTACAGCAGTGTCTCTCACTGTCGATAGGTCAGTTCGACTCTTTTCACGAAATCAGTAACACTTCGACGTCTTTTGCAGAAAGAAATAGGTAAAAGGACACCGTGCGTTGTATCTGTCAGTAGATATTGCTTTTAAATCTCTACTGGAAAAAATATGAAAAATATGAACCCATTACAAAATGTGTTCGGATATGATAGGACCAGAATCATATCCTACTTGTCATATCACAATGGTGATGTTCACAATATTCAAAGTATGAAAAGATTCATGACCTACAGATGGGCATGACCACGTCCTGCACGCAAATGGCACTAAAGCTGATTATCCATTTACAAAATTATGTGTTAATACTACTGAGTAGAAAGGCGTATACATGACTGTCCTGTGGGTGTTTGGCTTCTGCAAGGGAGGTAACTTACTCGATATTCGTCACCAAGTATGTGTATGTCCCTGTCGAGATTCGTGTACTTTGTTACGTGCATTGATCTAAAACGTGTCCTCTTCCATAGACTGCAGCCATTGTGAAAGCATGTATTTTGTATTCTGAATATCTAGTCTCACTATGAGAGGCCTATCTATAATTATCATATACTGAGAGTGAGTGAGTATGGTTTTACGCCGCTTTTAGCAATATTCCAGCAATATCACGGCGGGGGACACCAGAAATGAGCTTCACATATTGTACCCATGTGGGGAATCTAGCCCGGGTCTTCGGCGTGACGAGCCAACGCTTTAACCACTCGGTTACCCCACCGCCCCTCATATACTGAGAGGCGTTAAAAACGCACATTGGACTTTCTACACTAAGTCCGTTTTGGAGATGTTGCTGTTTTGAAAACTACAATATGGTGAAAACATGTGGTTAAGAAATGCATAGCTCTGATGTTTAGGTTTAGCGGGTGCTTCTGCCATTGATGGGAAGACATGGACGACATCGCGTCGTGTTCCAACACGACAATGCCAGACCACATACGGCTAGGATAACACAGGACTTTTTGCATCAGAACAATGTGGATGTCTTGAACTGGCCCTCGCGGTCACCTGATTTTAGCCCGATCGACCATTTGTGAGATGAACTTGGGCACCGTGTGAGACGTCAGTTGAATCCTCCCCAAACTGTAGCTGAGTTGACACAAGCTTTGCAGTTTCACTGGAGAGCAGTTCTACAAGTTTTGATTCGGAGATTGTGCTTATCAATGCCTGGCAGACTCCGGGCTTGCATAGCTGGACTATTCCTGATATGCGGGGGCTGTTTATGCCTCTCAGTATATATCTATCAATGATTTGAGACATTTTGCATGTGCCATACAGGCAACATAGAGATGGCCACATGGTGTGTTATAACGAGATCCGTATCACACCCAATTCCGGTAAGACATAACGTATCAACGAATTTTGAATGGGTGATTCATATCATCCCAGCTGGTAAGAAAATGGAATAACATGTCTTGCATTAGTCTCCTCCAAAGAAAGTGAAAGTGCATTACATTCACATGTAATAGCTACATTCCATGATCTGATGTCATGGTATGTGATAAAAGGGTTAGGTCAGTATTCATCTCATACCACACGCGAGCCTTTGGCCCATGTGGTTATTGCAGGGATCTGGGGTTGAGTTGAGGCATGACATGAAAAGTACCATAAAACATCCAATGAGAAAAATGGCATTGTTCAAAACAGCTCCAAAACTGAATACCCCATTGAATCTGAAAGAGGAAGTAAGAAATGTGTATGCATTACGCTTAATGCATTGTGACTGATGTGAACACATTACATTTTCCTCTCAATCATAAAATACGTACTAGACTTATATGCCAGCTTTACATCTACATCTGTGATATTCTAGTTGTATTTACTGTCCTTCCTTGACATGTTCTTGTGAATTATCTTCATGTATTGTGAATATATGACTTCTTTTAGTCACGATGTGGCTGAAATACTGCCTATGTGCCAGTACTCACTCACTCATTCACATTTTCCTCTTGGAACTGAGACAATATTCACACATTTGGTAATAATGTGGAAGTGAGGTGTTGTTCAGCCTTTTTTGAGGAATGGTTATTACATTGTTAAATAGGTACAAGGTCTTTCCATCAGAAAGGGGGTCGTCGCAGGAGAATTAAACAAATACTGGTATGTTAATAGTGGATTAATAATGTCTGTGATGTGAGTTCAGCCTTATACCATCCAAATGAGGATGGATATATCTTAGATGAAATATGAGTAAAGCATGTGAATTCCGTGTTAAATATAGGTTTGTTTC